ACGACACCGCAATCTTATCATCCAACTCTGATCCCAACATAGCATCCTTAAATCTCCAAAACCACCTCACCTTGATTGAGCACTGGTGTAATAACTGGCGCATTAAAGTTAATGAATCTAAATGCCAACATATTACCTTTACACTCCGACGCAGTTCCTGTCCACCAGTACACTTTAATTCCATCCAGCTTCCTTACTCAGACACAGTCCGGTATCTTGGCTTTCATTTAGACCGAAGACTAACGTGGAACCCACATACTAGACTCAAAAGACAAGAACTCAACCGACGATACGGCCAGCTATACAGACTACTAAACAGAAAATCCAAACTTTCTATTGAAAACAAATTACTTATCTACAAGACAATACTGAAACCTATATGGACATACGGACTTGAACTGTGGGGGACAGCAAAAGCTTCTAACATCAAACGTATTCAATCCTTTCAATCTAAAGTCCTTCGAACAATAGTTGATGCTCCGTTCTATGTAAATAACAAAATCCTACACCATGACCTTAATATCCCATTTGTCCTAGACCTTATTCCAGAAAAATTCTCCAAATTTCACCAGAACCTTACCTATCATCCAAATCCCCTTGCACAATCTCTATCCAGCACCACCCATCCTTACAATCCTCCTCGAAGGTTGAAGCGGCAGTGGCCCAGAGACCTTTTGTAAATAAGCATCTATTGGAGTTTTGGCAATGGCCAGATCCTCCACTCAAGCCCGAGTGTGTATGATTAGGTTAGTTCTTTTGTTTATATACATTTATTTTATTTTATTGTATTTATTTTTATTTTATTTTTTTGTATTTATTATTATTAAGTTTCTGTATTATTTTTTTTTATTTTATTGTAAATAGAGTGTGAGTGTGCTTTCTCTGATCACTATTATAAATGTCCTTGATGTGACAGAATGTAATATTTCTAAATAAACAAATATAAATATAATAAAATATTTTTATAGCTATCCTTCCTCCCCCCTCCAAGATAATCAAAAACTAACAAAACTCGTGAAGTTTTTGGTAGAAAAACTATACAAAAGTGAATCAAAGCTAAACAATTCAATAAACAAGTCATAAAATTATAGTCATTTCTGTTGTTAAACACCTTGACCCAATCGGTCTTCAACCCTACAGTTCCTCAGATAAATTTGGAAGCTAAACTATTATTGGACCCAAGGTTATTAATAAAGACTGGACTGATTCCCTCACATACGTTCCAGTATTTCTCAATATAGAGGTCAAGATATGCACGCGTAGGACTTTTTAAAGTAGGTGCCGAACATCATTAATTATTTTGGACGACGTTTCGACAATACGTTCGTGCCAACTTGAGATCCCAATTATAATAGAAAGTACTCAATACTTTCTATTTTCACCATCACATTTCTGGAGGGCTGGTTATCAGCAATGACGACCGTTTTTCATTATGGAGATAGAAAGCTTTATTGAAATTTTCGAGTAAACAAGATAGCCCATGTCACTTCCATGCTTGGTCGAATACTTGCTTTGGTAGAAATTGTTTTAACAACTCTAGATCTCATAGGTTGACTGTACTACAGAGCACTAGCGGATCCAGTATTTAATTTTTTTGGGGGGGGGGAGGGCTTCAGTCCGAAAGATTTTTTTTACATATATGTAACAATAATTACTTTATAAAAAATACATTAATAGTCTCTATGAAATGGTGTTTAAGTGATTCTCAAATCACTATTAAGAAATTTAATTAAATGTAATTACATGAACAATAATACTTTTTTTTTTTTCTGTTCTTCCCTACCTCGCCTCTTAGGCTATACGGGATTTTCCCGGACCCGAGGATGAGGGCGGGGAATATGAACAATAACACTTTAAGAGATAATTTTTAAATGTTTTTTTCCCATAAAACATGGTTAGATTTTACCATTTTGGGCAGGAGGCCTCAGCCCGAAAGCCCCCCATGTAGATCCGCCTGTGCTACAGAGGCATCATCTGAGTTTTTGGCGCCCGGCACAGGCGGATCTACGGGGAGGGGGGGTTTGGGCTGAAGCCCCCTCCCAAAATGATAAAATATAATCATGTTTTACAGAAAAAAAAAAATAAAAAACTATCTCTTAAAGTATTCTTGTTCGTTTAATTACATTTAATAAGACTTCAATAACCACTTAAACACCATTTCATATAGGTAGTTAGTTTCTTTTTTTTTTTTTCAAATTAATTATCGTTATATGCATGTGAAAAAAAATCTTTCGGGCTGAAGCTTCCCCCCCCCAAATTAAATTCCGGATCCGCTAGTGGAGCCCGGGGCGAATTTATATCAGGCGATCTCCTCACATTTCCCCGAACTCGGCCAATAGTATATTTTTCATGTTTACGGGTTATGTTTGTTGTACTTAGCTGTACTTTCGCTCTTCCTTTCACGACCGATAAATCTCTAGGCAGTCTGTTGTAATTAATCTACCAACAGCAAGTGAAACTGAGGTTAGAAATAATTATTAGGCGTTTATGATGAGCTAAGCAAAGATGAAAAGGAATGAATTAAAGCGTAGAAAGTGGATAGAAATAAGACTTTTGAGCACTGCTGTGTATTCTTTATATTTTTATCCCTGATTCGTGCTGCACAATCGCCCATGGACGACCCTGCTGCGCTATAACGACATGGGGTATTTGACATAACAACTTACACATCAATGCACTCAGCTAATTACTTGGATTAATTGTATGCATTTTTATTTATGTTCTTATCTTCGATTTATTTCATCTTTCTTTTCTTTTGTTTTTTAAAAATATAAATAAATTATCATCCTACGTATTTTTATTTTCATATATTTATTTATTTTAATTTTATTCTATATTTGTATTTGTTATTCTAATAGTATTTTTAACTGTTTATTTATTTACTTTTTATAGATCTATTAATTAATTTATTCGGTAATTATTATATAATTATATCATATTTTTAATATACGAATATTGTAAGTTATCTACTGAATAACTAATGTATTGTATACAATTTCTGGCTTAAAATGTTTTGTATTTTTGTTTTTAAATAAATAGAAAATAACTTTATTCTGGACTAAGTCCCTTTAGAATAACAAAATAGAACATAATTAAAATACTACATCTGGCCAAAATAAAACAATAATAAAAAAGAGAAAGTAAAGAAAATATTAGTTAAACAAGCTATATACAAACATTTAAAACTATGATAAAACACTTAAGACTATGTACAGTAGGAAAAATTATAATTATACTCTTTTGAAAAATAAAATAATAAAAAATACATTGAGTTCTTCTTTAAAATGAGGTGTGTTTCTGCTAACAAAGAAAAGAAAAAGCTGACAACATAAAATATCAGTGTCTTTAAATAATGATTAATATGTAGACTCATCATTGTCAAATGCTAGAGGTACAGATTTAATTATATACCAAAAAAATAAAAGTAAAAATAAAAAAAACAAACAATAGATGCGGTCAGTGGCATTAAGAGCCGGAAGATAATGTAATATCCCTAGTGAAGTTCATTAGTTCATTCATAGTTTAATTTTGTATTACACAGGGTGTTTCGTAATTGTACGGTACTATTTTAGGCATGTGTTTACTAAGACAAAATAAACAAAAAAGTTCATATCAACATATACCTCAAACTCATTTATTAAACAGATATCAAAGGTTAAAGATTTGTTATTTATTATTACTATTTATTTTTTATTATTACAACATTTAGAGTAACTATTCAAAGGGACTTCCGTTTTCTTAAATGCAACATTCAGCACGACGAATCCATGCTTCTTTGGCTCTTCATATAGTATTAGAATGTTGCTTACTATATAAACTGATGTTTATATAAACGGCTACTAGATAAACAGATGAGTAACTACTGTCATTGCTTATCGTTCATTTGTTTATCAGGAGATTAAAACCTGTTATTTAATATTAAACACGTTAAACTTTGTACAGTTGGTCTTAATGTAGTAAATAAATAATAAATCTTTAACATTTGATATCTGTTTAATAAATGAGTTTGAGATATATGTTAATATGAACTTTTTTTTGTTTATTTTGTGTTACTGAACACATACCTAAAATAGTGCCGTGCAATTACGAAACAGCCTGTATATTCAATAAAGCATTATTATTATTCTCTGTTTTTGGCAATAATAACTTCCAATAAACCAACAATCTATTTATTTCATGTTTACGTTTCGGGAAATTTTACTCCCATCTTCAGAACTACAATCCCATGTTTCTTTGCCGATTCATGGCTCAAGTCTAATGTGCTCCATTGTCAGGTTTTAAATTCATGTTAAATTCAATTATAGTATTTAATATCCAGATCATCATCATGCCCTTAGACTAATTATTGGACGTTTGCCCAATTAAACTTGGAAATACAATAAATAAATCGATTGCTGGTTAATTGGAAGTTATTATTGCCAAAAACAGAGAATAACATACAACTTCCCAGTAAAAAGGAAAAAAGAATTATTATTATTATTATTATGTACTTGGATTACAAATATTAACTATATATTATGTTTAAAATTTGGTCTATCAGACTTTCCCCCAGAAATACCACGAAATATACAAATATATCAAAACACTGCTGAAGAGTAGATAAATACACTTTTCTATAGTTGAAATTTTAGGCACTATTTGTGTTATGCAAAGTAGTTCCTTTAACTTCACTTGAACGTGAAAGGGGAATATCTTTATTAAGCTCGAGGAAAAAGACCTTTCAACCAATTTGATCGAAGGCACACTTACGGCGCACACAAGGAGAATCGAGTAAGTAAAGGAGGTTATGAAATTGTTTCAATTTATAATAATTCAATTGTTTTATAGAATTGTCTTTGTAATCAAATTGGTTGAAAGGAATCATTTTTCATCGAGTTTAATAAAAGTATTCCTTTTTGACGGAACGTTTAAGTGGAGTTAGAGGAACAACTATGCATACCATCTATAGAGCCTATATAAAGTAGACGTTAACGATTAATGAAGTTTTGGGAATTAACCTGATGATGACTCCAACCTGCGTTCAATGTGATAGAGGTCTTCTATCAAGCATAACGCGTCCAGCAAAAAGTTGCGCTGGGCCAGAAACTAAAGGTTAATGTCACCAAGTGATTTTCTGAGAATCTATGATCCACACTTTAGATAGTTGAAGATGTAACGATAATTAATCGGAATCAGGATTACCTATCATGATATTTCGGATGATAAGAAACTGCAGCTGATTTATCAGTGTACATTTCGTGAAAGTTGGCAAATATCATTCCAGCACATTCAAGAGCGATGATAAATATCGCTGTAGATGCGACCTACCTTGAGCTGCTTGAACTGCTCGATGGTGGCTTCCTCCGAGTTGTGCGGCGGGGGAAGCTTGTGCGTCCTGTTGGACACGGCCAGCAAGGGGTTCGTGTCTCCATCCAGGAGGACGAACTCCTGCCACATCACAGAGTCGTCCTTCAGGATCCATCCGTCTCGGCGGGGCCTACCTGTAACAATAGTCCTCTGTGAGGGAATGCTCTGGTCCGAGACAAAGGAGGCTGTGGGATGGTAAGGTCCCTTTTGTTCCCTTCATGCTGTATAATAAAAAGATAAAAAAAATGACAAAGGGTAAAGTTGAAGACACACTTCTGTTTTATTATTTAATAATAATAAATTAGAAGTTTGCCAATAGTATAATTAATTATAGTTTTAACAACCATTATTGATTTTTAATTTTGTCATATGTGAGGTTGACCTGCGGATAACAAAATTGACTTTACAGATAAAATCCAATTTTAATATTATAATTTTTAGTAATTAAAAGATTTACGATATTATAGAATATTGTCATTGCTATTTTTCAGATACCTGAATATTCCTCACTTCATAGAAACTATTCTTAATTCCGTAAGCGTAATCAGCCCAGTCAAATTAGAACAAAAAAAGTAGTATAGCTTGCAAAAGGTCGGGTAATTCAAATTCTTTTTTTATATTGTTAGGGATGCAGAGTATATAAATATACACTTGTATATTTGTACACTGTATAATACCAAAAATACTCTGAAATTGAACATGCGGTTTTAGACATATCGACGTATCAAGGAAAAAACATTGGCGCTTATATATGAGAAAGTGGACGGATTCAATAAAATCGATACTACATTATTTTTTTACCAATAACTACCTTTTGTTCAACTTCGGGATAGATCGAACGAGCCGTTTTGTAATATTGACAGATCTAATAAAATACGTTTGAGATTCCGTAACCAGAAGTGCTGGATGGAAATTTTGATATGTGGCTATCTAGACACCAACCCGTATATTCCCTGAAAATTTCATGAAAACCGGCTGAACAATGTTATGCCCGTTGCATCGATAAATCATAAAACCTTTTAAAATTTAAGCCTAAAAATTTAAGAGCCTGGATTATAAGTTTTTATCTTCTTCTTGGAGAGGAGGTGACTAAATATAGTTTCAACAGTTGGTACAAATTTTCTATAGAGAATACGATATTCTAAAATGGTGCAAATATTGCAATTTAGGAGATATCGAAATGTGTTTTTTTGGAATCTTTCCCAATTTTTTCAAGAATATAAAAAGTACTATTATATATATATATATATATATATATATATATATATATATATATATATATATATATATATATATATACACAGAATGTTAAAAAAAAACTCAAGGTTGTATATTTTACAACGTTTGAGAATAATCCCCCAGCCTAATCTCCGCCCACAAGGGTCTTCCTATAATTATTTGTCGATACCTATAACTTTTATCACTGGCTTTTTTTTTTTATTAAATTTTCCGTTTGGCTGTTAGAGTTATTTGAGAAAATTTAAATTGGATAGTGTATATTCATTTAAAAATTAATAATAACTAATAAATTTATCATTAGTCATATATGAATAAAGTTTGAAATTAATTTATATGTTATTTTTTGTTTTTAGTTCAAGATAAGATTTTCCTTATTCTAGTTAAAATTATTTTTGTTTTAAAACGTTTCCAATTTCGTTATCAGTAAGTTTTTATGCTGAAGATTTATGGAATCCTATTATTACTAGAACTATTAGTAAAGTAGTCTATTTGTCTAATTAATTTAATTAATTAATCCTAAGAGGTATAATAATTTCGGATTAGTACTGAAAACTTAATAATAAATAATACAATATTGGTTGTTATAGAAATACAAATGAAACCTACAAACAAATATTTTGAAAAAACTTACCTTCTACGATAGAAAAGACCAATAATATCAGGACTAGTGCGTACGAAAAGCACCATGTTTCATACCGTATGTGCATAATCTTCTTCCCCGAGACGAGAACTCAATGTTATCTAAAATAAAAAAAAAAAAAAAAAACATAATTATACACTTATATTTATGTACATTAATAAAATTATTACATGATAACGTGAGATGCATTTGTGAGTGTGTGAGTACATTGATACAATCAGCATATATTTTTTTTTTAATTTGTAATAAAATAATACTAGATTAAGTCGTTTCATATTAGCTATCTGAAGAACAAGTAAATTTCTCTGTATTATATGTGATTGATATCAGAGAAGAGCTGAACTAAAAATACCAAATTTTGATTGCAAAAATTACTTAGCATAGTTTTGTATATTTTCGTAACATGATTTTGCTTGGAGGAACATAATTAGAATTGTAACGAAATTGGTTATAAATATGCCGTCAAAATGACATATCATGCAAGGTGATATACATTATTAACATGCTTTTTATAATATATATATATATATATATATATATATATATATATATATATATATATATATATTTTTTTTTTTTTTTTTTTTCTTCAAAATTCTACTGCCTTTGTTCACAATTTTCTTTTTTAATTTCTTTGTATTAGAAATATACTTTGAGGATGAATGAAATTATTGACCAAATATTTAATCTGACCAATTATATTTGCACCAAGAAAACAAACAGTTTGTCAAGTTTAATGCATGAAGGCATGTGGTCTCTATTCGAATTGGAAATTTAAAAAAAAAGTGCTAAAAGGAACATAATTAATGGAATTTATCTGTAGTATAAACTGGATAATAACCACATTATAAATTAGTTAATTAAATTACATTAATTAGTTACGATGTGCGCTCTATACATATATAAAGTATATTTTCATCATTATCTCGACATATAATATTTAACTAACAAGGAAAGTTTACCGTCACCGATTTCAACAGAAATGTTTTTGGTGATATCACATCAAAAAATATTAAACACATGTCCCGGTGTTCGTTCCCGGGTCCTAGGAGACGAGAAAAAAAAGAAGTAATTTCAAATAAAATTCATTCTATTCTTTTTTATTCCTTTGCTTTCCTCGGATTTTTAGGTTATTATATACTTATCGATTTCCCTTTTTGTGCATAGTAAGAAAAATATATCGACTATGGTATTAAACGAATTATAATGTATCATAGTGGCCGCCTTAGACATTCGGCGTCCCCTCCCCCGGGGAATGACGTTATCACCACTCAAAAAAAAACTTCAATTTATTTCTTAAGCTGTTTTATGTTATGTAATATTTAAATTTTATTTCTTTATTACAGTTGCTTTATTGATAGGCTTAAATTAATAATTTAATGAAACATTTTAAATTTTTTTTTTATTTCTAACAGCACCCCAAACTGATGCCCTGGGGTAATTGCCCCGATTGGTACTGATGTCTCATTTACATAAAAAAAAAAAAAAGGTGCCAACAAGTAGATAAAGTAAATTTTTGTAATTAAATAGCAAGTTAGATTCGTTTCAAGTATCCTTAAAGACTCTCAGATACGAATTTTTAAATAAATCAAAAATTACAAATTTGAGAACTTGATTTTCTTGGAGGATTTTTTCCCATACGTTAACTATAGCATTTATAATTACTCTGTTTTTCCTCCAAATTCAACGTTAATACAACCGATGAAAAGATTCATTCTCAGCCAATTCAACAACGTTTAGATTTAATTCCTTTATAAGCTAGAATTTAAGGAAAAAACTCTCGAAGATTTTTATTTTATATTTTTAGTTCAAACTTGTTTACGTAGATCAGGATCGTACCATTTTATGGAGCTCATAGAGCCCTAAATCCCTGATAGTAAGGCCCAATGATACAATTCTCAATAAAATAAATATTATGCATCTGCCAATATCTACTAAAATACAGAATAAAAAACATTTGATAACTATACAAACGAAAACACAAAATTTTAATGACCTAATCTTGCTACTATAAGTGAAAGTAAACACCTTTTTAAGATGTAAAAAAAACATTATAGGACAATCTAAGTTTCGGTAGAATATTCATAATTACTTCAACATCGATGAAATCTGTAAAAAACAAAAAAAAAAACGCGACACGCGCATATCATAGTATTTTTCGAAGGATGATTTATTAAACAACTCTGATAACCCAATAATCGAACCCGATATTGAAGAAATCTTTAAAAACGATACGCTTGTGCGAGACTAATTATAAACGCGATAATTATTACGGACACAATAAATTTCACACACAAATCTTTACATAACTTATTTGATAACTGGGTAAGTAGTATTTTTTATCTATTGAATAATATTCGCATTTTTACTAAACAAATGGCTGGCGATCAGTCCTGGAAACCCCGAGGGAAATCAGAAAAGGAGTTATGCTGACCAGCTGGAGGATTGGTCACACCGCCATTACTCAATCGATGCTCAAAGAACATGAGCCTCCCGATCAGGGGTGCCCAGAAGGGGGTTTCATGGCCCAAGTTGCGCCATCAAATTTTTTAACGGGGTTTCAAATTTTTGAGAGGGACACATTTCGACGAGGTTATGAATTTTCGGTTTGATAAGTTTCAAAGCAGGAGACAAAGAAAATACGTGGAACAAACCGTAGCAAGTGCAATTGTATATCGACAGCCACACTGCAAATGCCTGTAAGAACAAAAACTAAAAATTTTCAGGAGATGAAGAAACTGTGGTGTAATTTTTGTTCTATGAGCATTATATTTTCGCTTTTTCTTTTTTTTCTCTCTCTTCATACTTCTATCCACACCTGTCATAGTATTGACAATAAGCAGATGTGACACATTGTAAAGAAAATTGTCATTTAAGGCATGAGGAAGATTAGTAACCAGCAGTACCTCTTCCTGGTCTTGGTCTACTTCATAATTTAGGAAAGGAGATCTCTCATCCAGCTCCTCTTTAGTAGTCTCCTGATGGGCATGTCAGCTGTGGCCATGTCGTTGATAAGTCCGTTGTGATGTCCGTGTAGTTTAAGATGAAATCGGGAGTAGAGAGTACGTATGTGTTGGTCGATGGTTGGTTGTTGTAAGTCAGTGTGTAAAGTTTTGTTGTTTACGTACCAGGGAGCTGCTGTTATTAGTCTTAAAATTTTGGATTGAAATGGATTTTACTGCAGTAACACACATAATTTGGTTATTAAATCAAATCATGACCGGAATGAAGTCAGTTTCCAAAATGTTGAGAAACGATACCTCGAATGGAAATTTGTATCAAGGTATCATTTGACATTTGACTGGAAAGATATTATTTGATCACACGGGTTATTCACTTTTTTGTCTCCCACTATAGTGGCGGCCATGTTGGAGTGCATGCGTCCCATTTTGGTTAGTCTATGAAAGTTTCGTTTTTAGCCTACTCATGAGGAAAATTTATTTTAGCCTATTAATAAAGCTAGTTGATACTGTAGCCTATGAGTGAAACGCTTTATACATTCTATATGGACATGAACATCTATCATGGGAGGATTTCATTACGTTTTCTCGGTAAAGACACAATCTCTATAACTTATAGACTTTTTACTGTAACTGTAATCTTCACTGTAACTTATAGTTTTTTACATCACGATTTATTCGTTTTAAGTTACAGGTTTTTACAAAAGGCCATAGGGAAGAATTGAAATATAATTTCATTTTATCAGATCAGAATATGCGAATTTATTTTCCAAAGAAATTGTCCTTATAGGCTTTTGCAGTGTAGCTGTCGATATGATACACGCTAATGTTATTTCTAATGTTTTTAAGAAGAGGAAAGAAATAAAATAGATTGGAGAGGGGATGGAGGAGATTCATGCACCTTTCTGTAACAAATGCATAAAAAAAACTAATACTAAAGGTACATGACAACAGCTTTGTAAGTACATAGAAAGTATGTGTCTGAATATATAATATATCTTCCAGTCGAAGCACTTAATAAAGGTTGTAAACTTGATGTGAATCACTGCATACAAACAAACCATAAAAAAAAAAAAAATAATTTTTTGCTCATCAGTTTTCAAAATAAACGAATCTTTCTGTTTATGTTGTAGGTGTAAATGTAATTAAAATAAAAAAAATACATTTTTCTTGCTTTAAGTTTAAATCTTTAAATGTCATAACTCAAAAACTATTTGTCCTATAAAGCTTAAACATATTCTCTTCATAATTACAAAGGTTTTAATTTGATGTATCACTTAAAATATACTAGATCAATAGCGGATCTATGAAGAGGGGAATTTCGTGCTGAAGCCCACAACCCAAATTAAAAAATTTTTTTTTTTTCATCACTCCATATTTGTTTCTGAGAGTGATTCAACATAAATTTAAAAAAAAAAAATTCCAACCTGTCCTCTTTTTAAGTTATAAAACATATATAAATACTAAATTTAAGCACGAGTGAAAAACAAAAATTACATAATAGTTATTTAATAATATTTTTTATTTTATGGTTTCTTTGTTTTCCTTTCAGATTAATTACCGAAAACAAATTCCCACAAAATAAAATCCTGGATCCGCTACTGTAATGGATTAATTCCGAAATGATATTTACAAAATGTCCTTTCTTTTAAAACAATATCAAAATTTTTATTTCTAAAAAATATACATGTTAGTATTTTGCATAATATAATGTAGCAGAACATTCTGTATGTTTAAGTGGTATCTCAATGACATTAAAAAAAAATATTGAACCTCAATTATCAATTAATGGCTCACGAATGCTTCCATTTATATTGCGTGTATGATATGGTAAGCATCTTATAATTGCAGCAGTATCATGACTTACTATGTTAAGGAAATGTTATTATTTAAAACTAGAGGAAGGGGAGGGGGTAACCCCTGTCAGACCAACGGCGAATCAACCTCCATTTTACAAATTATACAACCGTTCATTTAATTGTACTAATAGTCCCTCAAATTGCTTAACTGTAATTTACATGTATTCTGTAGTCCATATTATATTATTTTTTATAAACATAAAATAAGTGGAACGAAATCAAAGTTCGGACAATTTTTAATTTCTTTAAAAACCTATATTGTACATCGCACCTTAGAATAGA